TCCATACAGCACACAGACCTCACTTGTAATGGAATGACTCTCCCCGACCACACGCATCCCAACCTGGGGGGGGGATGCGTGTGGAGGACGAGAAACCGCGAAACTTCCAACAGACAAAGCTGTAAAAACGCACAACCGGAATTCCAGAACATTTTATAGACGACGGCCCCAAAATATGAGTTACGTCATTTTCATAACTTCACAAGTCTGCAAGAATACAATCCGGACACCTCACAATAGACGTTCCTTGTTTTATCATTAAGAAGCCGTCCTCGAGCTCCGCTCAGTGACTTTGCCTAGGGTGAGATGATGTCATCAGTCTGCTGCAGGCAGGAAGAAGCATTTCCTCAGTCTCCCCTCCCCCAGTGATCAGACTGCAACATTGTAACTTTGTAGCAAGACACAAGAGGAATTGCTAAAATGTTGAGAACAGAGGAAATGCTTCCTGTCTGCAGCAGACTGATCACTGGGGGAGGGGACACTGAGGAAATGCTTCCTCCTGCCTGCAGCAGACTGATCACTGGCGGAGGGGAGACTGGGGAAATGCTTCCTGTCTGCAGCAGACTGATGACTGGGATGCTGGTTGAGAGATGACACAATCACAGGTTCTCTTGTCTGTGTCAGACATTTGTGATCACAGGAGAGAACTGTAGGACTGGGTCATCTCTCAACCAGCATCTCAGTCCAGGAAGTAGATGGTGACCCTGGATGATGCCTGAACAAAGATGGCGCTGTCCTCCTGGAGAGAAAAGAAGATGAAGACACTGTGTCAGGGGGAGAGCTGTAATCTCTGTGACAGTGCAACATGCGTTCTCCTGTGATGCGAGATCACGTGTGGGAATGCACATGCTTCCGCATCGCAGATATGTGAGTGAAGACTACGCACACTGCATGAGAGGCTTTATCTGATGACAGGTCCTCTTTATTATATTAAGATCAATGAAAGTTTCAGCAACTGTAATAAAAGGAAGAATACCAGGACAGGATGACGCAGGCTGCCATTGCTGGTCCCTTTCTACAATACAAGAACAGTAACGCATGGCTGCATGCTGGTCCCTGGTTAGGAAGCCCCAATCAGCACGCCAGCCATAGTTTCCCTGCAGTGGGCTGTACAAACCTGGTGCCCGTCAGTGCACGTTGTATGTGCAGTCATGTGACCGAGCACGGCTCATGCAGGATCAGTGCAGGGATGCTCCTATTCCCAGTCCAGGGGCCCGGCAGTGGGCACGCAGTATGGACAGTCATGTGACTGAGCACGGCTCATGCCGGATCAGTGCAGGGATGCTCCTATTCCCAGTCCAGGGGCCCGGCAGTGGGCAACAGGGGGATGCTGTATGTACAGTCATGTGACCAAGCACGGCTCATGCAGGATCAGTGCAGGGATGCTCCTATTCCCGGTCCAGGGGCCCGGCAGTGGGCAGCAGGGGGATGCTGTATGTACAGTCATGTGACCGAGCACGGCTCATGCAGGATCAGTGCAGGGATGCTCCTATTCCCGGTCCAGGGGCCCGGCAGTGGGCAGCAGGGGGATGCTGTATGTACAGTCATGTGACCGAGCACGGCTCATGCAGGATCAGTGCAGGGATGCTCCTATTCCCGGTCCAGGGGCCCGGCAGTGGGCAGCAGGGGGATGCTGTATGTACAGTCATGTGACCGAGCACGGCTCATGCAGGATCAGTGCAGGGATGCTCCTATTCCCAGTCCAGGGGCCCGGCAGTGGGCAGCAGGGGGATGCTGTATGTACAGTCATGTGACCGAGCACGGCTCATGCAGGATCAGTGCAGGGATGCTCCTATTCCCGGTCCAGGGGCCCGGCAGTGGGCAGCAGGGGGATGCTGTATGTACAGTCATGTGACCGAGCACGGCTCATGCAGGATCAGTGCAGGGATGCTCCTATTCCCGGTCCAGGGGCCCGGCATTTTGCGGTATTTCTAGACTCGGAGCCGGTTCATGAGGACAAGCTGAGGTGTTTATCTTTAATATACGTGGCCCCTCGGCCCCCTGATAGCTGTTCCTCCGGCATCTCCTATGAAAGCCTTGATGGAAAGCAGGCTTCGTTCCCGGAGCGCAGGGCGCTAATCTTCTATTTCACCCGCGCTATTCTGGGCACCGGCCTGTTCATGTTATGAGGTCTGGAGAATCTGGATCGCTCTCAACAGTTCCGTCGGCTGCCAACGAGGGCACGAGACGCCGAAACGCTGAGCTGGCCCCGGGCCAGAAATATCGATAACGCCACCGGCATCTCCTATGAAAGCCTTGATGGAAAGCAGGCTTCGTTCCCGGAGCGCAGGGCGCTAATCTTCTATTTCACCCGCGCTATTCTGGGCACCGGCCTGTTCATGTTATGAGGTCTGGAGAATCTGGATCGCTCTCAACAGTTCCGTCGGCTGCCAACGAGGGCACGAGACGCCGAAACGCTGAGCTGGCCCCGGGCCAGAAATATCGATAACGCC